TGAAGCCGGCAGAGGGAGGCGGCCGTTCCCGCCGGCAGCTCCCCGTCCCGGCACGGGGCGCCCCTGACAACCCTTCCCCCCACCCGCCTCGGCTCGGGACACCCCGACACGGCCCCGCCCCCCGCCCCTCACGCGCGCAAAATGGCGGCCGTACCTGCTCGAAGCGGGGCTTCCCCAGCTGGAAAGGGGGATACTCCGCCGGCTCCGCCATTCCCCTCACGCCCCGCAAGCGCCACCACTTTAAACGGCCTCCTCCGCCGCCGGGTCCGGCCCCTCGCCTCGCCGCCGCTGCTATTGGACGCGGCCAACCGCAGCCCCCGCGGGGCATGCTGGGGGATGGAGTTTTTCCCCCCCAGACAAGAGGCATGATGGGAAATGTAGTTTTAGCGGGCGGGGAGCAAGGCCTCATGAGAAATGTAGTCGCAGCCTGGTGAGGCATGATGGGAAATGTAATTTAGAACTAATGCATCATGGGGGATGTAGTTTGGGAAATTGAGGCGGGGGCACCTCTAGTCAGAGACCCGTCACCTATCCCTCCCACCCCCCTTTCAAGCGATCAAAGCAGGATGCAGCACCACACAGGGTTGATCTGCCCATAGATGAAGATAAAGACCAGGCCAAACCAAAGCTGACTGGTCCTATGACCCTCAGGCCTTTGCCTTGGGTCCTGTGTTTGAAATCTGCCCCTTGCCCCACTGGGCAGCCCTGCATGCAGAAAATGTTTATTTCAAGCAGGACAGTGGGCGGGGGAAGAGAGTTAAACCAGGACTGTCCTGCCAACTCAAGGGCTTTGCAAAAATGGTTTTGGGGTCAGGGGAGAGCAGGGACATCTTAGGAATTTAAATAATAAAAAAAAAAGGAATCCCTGAGATTCACAAACCTCACCCCCTTCTGCTCCAACTGCGTGGCCCAGTGCTTGGGCCTGCCTTCTCTAATAAATACATATAAACATGCATATTTAAAAAAAACAAACAAAAAAAAACCACTCTATCCCTAACAAGACATTTCACTGCGCACACTGCTGTCTCTAGGGAGAGGACAAAAGACCAAACACCACCTAACAGCTGTTAGTTACACTGCTTAGTCATAGAAATGTAGGGCTGGAAGAAGCCTTGAGATCATCCAGTCCATCTCCCCCACACTGAGGCAGGATTAAGTATACGTAGACTATCCCTGAGAGGTGTTTGTCTAACCTCTTCTCAAAAACCTCCTAGGACAGGGATTCCACAACCTCCGTAGGTAACATGTGCCAGCACTTAACTATCCTTACAGCTGTAAAATTTCCCCTAATATTTAGCTCAAATTTAGCCTTGCTGCAAATTAAGCGGATGGCTTCTTCTCCTACTCTCAGTGGAGAACAAGTGATCAGGGCCCTCTTTATAACCACCTTTTACGTATTTGATAAAATACCGTATATACTCATTCATAAGCTGAATATTTTTGGTAAAAAAGTGACATCAAAGAGCGGGGATTGGCTTATAAACGGGTCTACACCAAAATTTAATGATTTTAAACTCTATGGAATAATTGAATTCAATATCTAATACATTGTCATTTTGTTTACCTGGAGCGTCTGCAGGCATGGAGCCCCACAGCTCCCTGTAGCCGCGGTTCGCCATTCCCAGCCAACGGGAGCTGCGGGAAGTGGCGGCTAATTGCGGCCATAGGGAGCTGAGGGACTCCATGCCTGTGAACGCTCCAGGTAAACAAAACGTCCAGGCCCGTTAGAGGCTTACTCTAACAGGCCGGGAGCCAAAGTTTGCCAATCCCTGAAATATAGGGTCGGCTTATGAAAGGGTCATACAGTTGTTGCTATTTTTACCTAACCATCTTGGGGGGTCGGCTTATAAATGAACGAGCTAGTGAACGAGTATATACGGTACATCTCCCCTTCATTTTTCTAGACCAAACCTTTCCTTAAAGCTCTTATTTTCTAAACCTCTTATGTGTGTCACTCTCTTCTGGTCTCTCTAATTTAGCCTCATCTTTCTTAAAGAGCGGAGCCAAAAACAGTCACAGTACTCCAGGTAAGAACTCACCACTGCTGAGTAGAGCAGCACTCTACTTAAAGCGTCAGTGGAAGGCACTCATATACTATGGTGATGAGCATGGTATAAGAACCTATACAGAATGAAGAAACGCATTGTGGGAAATACAGGATTTCCTTTTAGGTAAAGAGGAGGGTTGTAGCTCCTTCACTGAAGGAGAAAACCCTAGACCAAGAGAGGCTAGAGCACAACCCTACTCATCGATCGCTATGGAGTCACACATCCAACCATCCGGAATCTAGGAGGCCGCACCTTGCCCAAAGATTTTCTTTAAAAGCAATGAAGAACGTTGTGCTGGTCATGCTCTGTTGCAACCAGTCTTACACTACTGCATCACAACAGAGAGGGACAGCATTTGCCCCATTACAACGCCATAGGCTTTGGAAAGGAGCATGGGATAAGCCTGTTACAATCGTGGTTCTGCTACCTACTATGATGTTCATAGCACCCTGAGTTTACTTGATGTCATACAGCACAGTCAGTGAATTGGACCAGAACAGATACAAGCCTTTGGTACAACACAACAACTAACTCACCCAGCATGCAAAGTGATTATTATAGCAGAAACCCTTCACAGCAGAGCCCCTGACCTATTTTTCAGAGGACTTTCAAGAATCACCTGTAGGAGATACCACTCTTGCCCCTTCCTCATGAAGTTACCTCTTCTCACCCTCTCCATTGTTTTCTTTTCTTAAAACAAAAGGCCCAATGAGTTTAGTTACCAACGGGGCTCCAACGGCAATGGGCCACCAAGGTGATCAGAGAACCCAGTGCACTGGGAGTATCTCTGCTTCCTGGAGCAAACACAGTTTTGGCAAACTCATTTGCACCATTAAGGGCTCATTCTCCATGCTGTGTGATCGGTTGTATCCAAATGCTGACTGTCCAATTCTCAGTGACAGAGATGTGACAGGCAGAGTAAGCACAGTGAGACATCGATGCCACAGCACCAGGGAATCTACTACTGATTGACAGGCGTTTACATTAACTTTAAAGACACTGGTTGAGCAAATGCAAATACATAGGGAGGTGCTAGACCAGCTTGCGGAGCAAAAAAACAAACTGAAGATTCATCAGTTCTCTTTGGGACTTTATAGCTTGCAGAACACTGGAAGCCCATCAGCTGACATTGACCTTTAAAATGGCCGATAGAGCAGGAAGCTTCAAAATGCAAATGAACACAGGTTACTTGATCTAGCACCTCAGTTTCACAATTCAGAATAATAGACAGACAACACCAAGGTTTGGGTGGGAGGGACAAATTTGGGTCTACATGAGGCACTCGCTAGTTTATAGAGCAAAAAGCACCAGAGGGAATATAGCAATCTACAAATAGCTGAAGAAACTTAAGAGGACAGGAATCAATTATGTGCAGAATAGTAACAGGCCAAGAACTATGCTGGAGACAAAGATCAAGTGGGGAATATAGGTGGGAGAGCAAGGAAGACTTGGAGAGCTGAGTGGGAAAGAGAACTTGGTCAGAAAATGGGCTTTCCCCCAATGGAATATGTAAATGAAAATGGGGGGGGGGGTAGGCGGGGGGTGGGTTTGGCCAAAGTTTCAGTAGAAAAGTTTGACTTTTCAATCAAAATATCTTGAGTCAGAAATGTTGCCGGGGTGTCTCATGCTGCCATTCTCCTCTGCAGGTTAAAGTCCCTAATTGGACTGTAACTCCCATGATGCACCATGGTTTCTGCTCATGGTGAGGGGC